ATATATATATATATATATATATAGGTTTCTACACAAACACACACACGTGTGGAACAAATAATTAATAATAATTATGTAAATTGTATTATGGAACGGAGACATAACTTACAAATGGTGGTGCAGCATCAATGTTCTCAGAGAGAGGCCTTATGCTGTCAAGTGTAACATTCTCCTCATTTCCAAAGTCGATGTAAAACACACTAACAACTCTGCGGGCCACATCGACTGACTGAACCTCAGCTCGATACCAGTTCTAAATCAGCATGAAAGAGACCAAACTGAGCACTAGAATATAGGGCTGTCAAAATGGCTGAAAAACTAAATTCGAATTTTGTACTTAAATATGATCAAAATTCGAATTATATTCGAAACATATTCTGTTATACCAAATAATGATCTTTAAAAAAGCATCATATGACCCCTTTAAAGTTCCCCTATTATTCCATTTGAAATATTGCCTTTCATGCAGTGTAATGTAGCTGTATGTGAATGTAAGCAATCTGCAAAGTTGTGAAGCCGAAAGTGCACAATAAATATTAAGTTATCGTCTCCCAAAAGAAAGAAGACAGCCTAAACGAGTCGTCAGTAATTCAAATACCACTTCTGTGATGGCTACACGTCACAGGGTAATACATTTGCATAATGCCTGCCTATTTTCTGGCCGTGAACAACCTGACCCGCCCTCAATGTAGCTTGTTCATGTGGTTAACATCATGTGTCCTATGCTGTGAAAGTAAACTTTTATTTTCACTTCCAAAAGATGAGGCTGCAAAGAATCATTGGTTAAAATTCTTTTTTTTTTCCACTGTACCACATATATATACTAGGGGTGCAACGGTTCTCGGTAAAAAACCGAACCATACCGTTCTCCACACACGGTTCGGCATACACTAGGACCGCGGTTCAACTTAAATCTGACAATGCATCTGTAATATGGTTTGTTAGAGTTTGCCTAATGCATGTTTCTGTTGATGGATACAAATTCTGGCTTCCCAATACATTACAACAAGAGCGATGAGAGAAAAAAAACAACTATACTTGGACAAACCAGTCACTCTTTGTTCAATGCGAGTGCTGTATGCTGGAATAACTGTCATTTATGCCGTCATCACGTGTTGATAGCGCAGGTGAGACCTGAACAGCACACGTTGCTATCTGTGCTTAAACTAAACTAATTAAAGCCTTGCCAGTTTAAATATTAAAGAGCCAGAAGACGCGAACTTGCGTGCAGTGAGAAGATCTGTGTGTGCGCTCATCTGAAGTGCATGAACCCGCGTCTCAGAATGCTTGCAAATATTAAGCTCTCTTTGAAGTATTGTGCTTGAATGGACAAATTCACACAAAAATTATGTCAAAATGCCCGTCTTGGGAGAGTATCCTAGCAGACATAGCCGGCTGAACGTACAGTATCAGTGCACTGGATCAGTGCATTCTCTTTAAGTGACAGCACTTTCTTAATGTTAATCAAACAGCAACAACACGGAAATCACTCACTGCTCTTGATTCTGTAACTAAAAACTAATGTTAGACCTACCTAAAAAAAAGCCTGAAAATCACTGTTTATTTTATTTACAGTGTACTCTATTGTATTTAGAGTACTGTATTGTATTTATTTGTGCTGTTGCTTGTAGTTAGGTAGATTATTCGTATTTTCTTTATTTTTTTTATTTGACAGTATAGTTTTTCCCTGAACATGGCACATACCGAAACGGTGACTCTAAAACCGTGATACAAATCGAACAAATCGAACCTTGAACCGTTCCACCCCTAATATATACCATATACATATACATATACATATACACATATACCACATATACAGTACGGAAAGTATTCAGACCCCCTTAAATTTTTCACTCTTTGTTATATTGCAG